TCACTTGTTTGCTCCCTTTCTTTCGCCTTTTTATTTTCGACGAGAATGATTAATACGGAAAAATCATGAAACAGTATCGGGCAATTACGATATGTTCCATATATTCATTCCATGACGATCACCTAGTTTCATTCAGCCATATTTGCAACAGTCTGAACCGATCTGAATGTGATTTGAAATCTTTTTCTGTTAACTGAATCCTTCCAATTCATAATGACCATTGAACCATTGCAAATCAATCTGGCACTGACTGACTGACTGACTTGTAATATCGACAAAAAATCATATTGATGAAAATTGTTATGCAGAAGTGAAGATGAGAAAACGAAATGGCAGCAATTGTTGACTGAAGGAATTGAAAGGAGTCGTGCTAAAATACAACCCAAATCCACAACTCTACCGATACTTATACGAATTGATGGACGAAACCAGGTACTAGTGCGCCGTTGATCTGAACTCGTATTCACTACTACTTCTAAGAAATCTAAATCTCTTATTGTTCATACTGATCCAGTAAATTCTTGCTTGAAATCAAAAAGATGAATGTTGCTCATACCATAAATATATGCCATCAGTTATTTTCTCACCATTTTCTTCAATGAATGATTCTCTTATTTGGATCGTGGAAGATTTTGAAATATTCACATTTGTCGGATGAGTCACTCATTGGAGGAAATAATGAATAATTTCAGGTGATCAAAAAGAAGATCACAATCGAGCAAACCAGTGGCGATGTTCTGATGGATTTGATAAATATGCTATCGATTCGACACTGCGACGATTTGGAGTTGTTGTTTGATTCGGGTGGCTATGAGAGTGAGATTGTGCTACAAGGACCCGAGAACGTGTTCTGTGTGGTGCTCGAGTCTGTGAAACGTACCGGGTATCGCCTTTCTGAAGTGCAATTCGAACGTCTCGATACGTTCCCACTGATACAGTGTCGTCTGGTGCTAACAACCGCGTCTGCGTCAAGAAGCAATGCCGCACATTCTTTTGTTACGCAATTCAAGTTCGTCGTTCTCTTCTCGATAGCATGTAACCAGCTGTGTGCAGTTTGAGTGTTTTTGTCACGACTAGCGCGAAAAGCTAGCATACAATGATGATAGTACTCAAAGATAGTACTTAAATCAAATAAGAAAGATCGAGCAATGGACCGATAGTGTACTGGTGTAACGCTGGGCTTTGAGGATCCGATCTGTTCAGAGGGCGTGAGTTCGATTCAGAACGCGTCGGTCCAAAATCTTTGACAAAAGTTTGATCTCATTAAAGAGATAAGCACAAGAATATCTCAGTTTAAGAGATATTCAGAAA